AAATCCTACGACCTCCGAAAGAAACTGAAGGAGGAGCTTGTAGAGCACATCGCCAAGGATCCGGAACTGAGTTCCATCCTTGAGCGGCTACGGGCTGACCCTAGCAGTCATCCTGATTTTCACGAGTATGGAGGACTGATTTTTCGTCGCTACGGGAACCACGACCGTTTGTGTGTGCCCAACCATGAGCCTCTCCGCATGCACTTTTTGGATTTGGCTCATGGCCGGAGCGGACGCTACAGTATGGCAAAAACGTACGCAAGTTTGCTTAGACAGTTTGATTGGCCTGGCATGAAAGGGACTACTGAAAAGTTTGTGGCTGAATGTCAAGTCTGTCAACGAATCAAACCATGCAGACAAAAGCCGATGGCGCTACTCACACCCCTTCCCATTCCCGATGGTCCTGGGGAGTCCGTCTCCATTGACTTCACAGACATGGGAAAGGTAAGTAAGAGCGGCTATTCACAGGTCATGGTGATTGTTGACCGATTCTCTAAGTTCCTCAACCTGATCCCTTTGTCGCATCACGCCCTAACAGAATTAGTGATTCGTGAGTTCCAACAAAAGTACATTCTGCAGTTCGGAACCCCGAAGACTCTTGTGAGCGATCGGGATCCGCGCTTCATTAGTACTGTGTGGAAGGACTTCACGTCTCAACTGGGGATCAAGCTGTGTATGACCTTTGGCCGACAGCCCGAAGCCAACGGTTTGGCTGAGGAGATCAACCAGACTGTGTTTCAACTTCTTCGCGCTTTGATTATCCCGGATCAGGAAACATGGGATGAAGAGCTGTATTCCGTTAAGGGGTTATACAACAACTCCGTCCACTCCGCCACCGGCATGACACCCAACGGGCTGCATTACGGTTGGCAGATCCGGGATCCGCTCTCCTACCTATTCCCTGAGCAGCCAGCTGGCTTAACGCCCGACAGACCTGGCTTCAGGGTCAAGTATGATCGCTTGCTCAAAGTTGCCATTGCAGCTATGACCAAGCGACAACACGCCATGATCCATCATGCGAACAAGAAGTGCCGACCATCGGATATTCAGGCAGGAAGCTATGTCTGGGTCAAGATGTCTAAATGCTCAGAAGAAGAGGGAGTCTCATGGAAACTTCTCCCACTCTATTATGGGCCCTGGGAAGTTTTGGATGTGATCGGTGAAGATCACTTTGGCCCTTCGTACGTAGTTGATGTGCCAGCTCATCTGCGCACATACCCCGTGTTCCATGCATCAAAACTGTACCTCCACCGTGATGCTAAAACGTTCGACTATCGCGAGGACATGATCCCTCATGCGATCAAAGGCGGGCATGAGATAGACAGGATCAAACAACACGTAGGGAAGGGACGCAACAGATAGTACAAGGTTCACTTCATGTATCACCCATTAGACGATTTGTCCTGGATTTCCAAACAGGAACTGCTATGCAGTGCACCGCGTGTTGTCAAAGCATACGAGCGACAAATCGCCACTAACGCTGTACCTACTATCTCTGCAAGGCTCACTGCAACAGAGTACTCTAGGAACCTCTTTGCCTTGCTCGCTTACGATGCGTTTGTCGAGGACTCAGAATGAATTACCCGCTCGAAGGGACCTCGCTCTTGAGGGGGGAGTAGTGTGATGACCCGTCCATACATGCACTGAAACACACAACTGATTTATGAGTTTTGCCCATAGACTGAACGCCCTGCTGAGTTTCCCGCTTGCTACGAAGTCTGTGTGCACGCTTGCTAGACTGCATGTCTGTCTGAGTGTCGGATGGCTCGAGTGTGTGTGTGACCATGCCTGTCTGAGTGTGGTTGCCTTGGGTGTGTGTGTGACCGTGCCTGTCTGAGTGCTGGTTGGCATGAGTATGTGTGTGGCCCATCAGGGCACTTGCTCGTTCGTTGGGCCCTCAGGGCCGGTACTTACTTGTGGCCGTGACATTGAGGGGTTGCAGTGGGGAAAAACACTCAAGTCGCGGTACCGCACCTGGAAGGGGTAGATGTGCAGGTACCGGAGGCCGAGCAGAAGAAGGCAAAAGTGGCATTTTTAGAGGCCCAGTAGTTGTAGGTTAGGTCTAGGGGGATATCAGTCCAACCAGTCTGGGTCTAGGGCCTGTACGGGCAATATCAGAGTCTGCAATGATGTTCCCCTCCGAAAGGGAGGAGGCACCGGTTGCTTGGGAGGCCGAGCGGCCTGGAAGTCACCGCCCAAGAGGCAAAGCAGGCCGCTATATCTTCTGGCCGGGCGGAGAGTCCGGCCTCTTTTTCGGTGTGCAAGTTTGGCGACACACTGGTGGAGCGCTGGCTGGAGCAGCGCTATGCTGGAGCAGCGCTGCTGGGGAGGAAGGAGAAGGACACGAGGGAGGAAGAAGGAAGAAAGGGGGAGGAGCGCCAGGGGTACTTACCTGGCTATGGTGGCAGCCGTCTTCATCACCTTGGTGGGCGCTGCAGCAGGGAGTCCCCAACTGGGGAGAGCCACACCAAGAAGCTTCAAGGCAGGGTTGGGCATGGCGGCCTGAGCTAGAGCAGCCATAGCTGCTTTGGGTTGTCCTTTGGGCATCTGGGCRAGGCCTAGTAGTCCGCCATAGCCTCGGCCTATGAGAGTGAAGAGTGGGGAGGCGGCCATGGCTATGGTGGACCTCAAGTGATACCTGCAGTAGAAGAGGGACTCGGACATTGATTCTGGATCAGCCATTCAACATTGTATTATTATTTCTTGTATGAATAAGAGAAGGGGGAGATAAGGAGGAGGAGATTGTTGGGCGAAGAAGAAGAGCCTTATCATCTGTTTTTGCTGGTTTACATCATCTTCTTCTTCTTTCTTACTTCTTCTTCTTCTAATCCTCTCTCTCCTCTCAAGTTCATTCATTTCTTTCTGCAATTGGATGGCATTGTACTTTCCGATGGATGTGTATCTCGAAATTGGCCAGGGCCATAACTATGGTCTCTTTAAGAAGATACGAGATTACGAAATTGTATTCGTTGAATCCAAGCCAACGAGTAACCAACAAGGAATTGAGAAAAGATAGTCCTGCACCATGCAGCTATAAGATCCTGTTACCGCTCAAGGCGAGAGGACCAGGTCGCAGATCCAGAGGAGGGAGTGGCATTTTCCCTGAGGCCTTTCTGCCGCTTGCCACACGAGGCTTCGTAAGAGAGAGGACCCTTCCTTTGTCGTCGGAAGGGGGGAAGAGAGAGAGAGAGAGAGAGAGAGAGAGAGAGAGAGAGAGAGAGAGAGAGAGAGAGAGAGAGAGAGAGAGAGAGAAAGAGAGAGAGAGCTTGCGCGTTGTCAGTTTGCGAAGGCCCGGAGCAGCAGTATTCCACCCATAGTCGTGGCGCAGGCTGCACATGCCAAAAAAAATGGCTGCATAGGCTATGGAAAAACAGATAAGCGCGGATGCAAGCTTGGCTGGGGCTAGGAGTACTCGTTCCGTTTGGCAAGCCCAAATGAGAACGCCGCTGAAGAGTGTGTTAGGTAGTAGTGCTAAAATGAGTGTGCAAGCGTCGGGGAAGGTAAGCAAGGTTTTGACCATGATGGGACTTGTTGTTGGTGAGGAGCATGGAGGTGGGCAGTGGGGAGGAGAAGAAGTGCAACAAGTACTCAGAGGGAGAGAGAGAGAGAGAGAGAGATGGGGGAGGAGGAGGAGGAGGCGGAGGGGGAGGGGGTGGTGGTTGACGAGGAGGAGGAGGAGGAGAGGGTGGTGGTTGAGGAGTAGGCGGAGGGGGAGGGGGTGGTGGTTGAGGAGGGCGAGGAGGAGGTGGAGGGGGTGTGAGAGAGGCAGGGGCCACCAACATGGGGTTGGGGGTTGGCGGACCCTTGGATGAGCCATGACAGTGCTCTGGGTCAGAGGTCCAAGGGGGCAGTGACCAGGTGGAAGAGGAGACGGGGTTAGAGGGAGGAGCAGGGTGCGAGAGAAGCGTGGTTGGTTGTGGTGGTAGTGTCGCAATAGAGCTAAGGAGCGCTATGCACGCGAGTAGTGACAGGTACAAGAAGAAGGCTCACGAAGCTGCTCTCTCCTCTACTCGGTGATCCTCTGCTTCGGTGCTGTTTGCCATGCTTGCGCGCTAAGCGTCGTGCTGCACGGTGGTCGTGTAAGGCCTGATGCTTGCTGTGTGCTGCTGGCTGCTATTAGTCGCATGTGCCTGACGCAAATATTGGTGTGGAGTGCGGACTATACCAGTTCCTCGGACTCCATCGTGCCATCGAGGAGGTCCAAGTCTTCGACAAAACCCATGTTGTCGGTCCACTGCTGCGCACTGCTCTTTGAATTCCCGATTGCTCGATCGAGTAGGTCACTTCAGACTGTAGGCTTAAAATAGGAAGCAATGATGCTCCGTTGGAGTGCCCGTTCCCAGTTATATCCTCCATAGACTATAACTGCTGCGCCTGGGGGTGCCAGTAGCTCCGCGCTTTTCTGTAGGGGCCGCTCTTGCTGGTTCCGCACCTCACCTTTTTTTCGGGATCCAATCATCAAAAGAATTCTTAATCCTACGCATCTGCTGCCTAACGAATCCCTGCTGTGCCTTAAGAGGGCAGGAGCTCGACACCCGCTGCTTGTTGCCTACCATCTTTCGGTGTCGCTTGGTCGAAGAAGGAAATAAGGGGGGGGAAGGACAAAAAAAAAAAAAAAAAAAAAAGGAGAAAAAGAAAGAAGAAAAAAAGAAAACGAACGGGGGGAGGGGGGAGGAGAGGAAGGAGATACAGCCTACAAAAACATTCTTTTCGCGCTTGATATGACCCTGTGCAAGTTACTCGTTCATGGGTTCGATTCCAACTTTATGTTAGTGAAATGCAGTGTGCTCTTTGTCGGCTAGCCCATCCAAGATGCGGTGCGCCGTCATAAACCTGCAGTAATCGTTCGACCAGAGGTATGAGGCCTGCTTCCCCCTGATATGGCTCGCCTGTGGTTGTGTGATTTATTGCAGTAAGGAAAAAAGGGGAGAGAAAGCAAAATCGGAAGGAAAAAAAAAGGAAAAAAGGAAAGAAAAGGAAATTATGTTGTGGAGAGATTTGGTGCCGGATCCCTATGATAAAAAATCAAATAAAAAAGTCAAAAAATTTGAAATAAATCAAATAAATCAAATAAAAAAAGAAATCGAAGAAATCGGGTAAGATGGGCGTTTTTTTCTTGAGAGGTGCACCAGTGGTGCTTCTCTCTTGGGTGGTGCTGTCCGTCAATCTCAAGCCTCACAGGCAGGGTGACGGGAACAGGTTTTACCAGGGCATTGGGCTTTCAACCGTTCATCATTACCATAAAAAATTGTCTTTATTGTACAGGCAATGCTAGGCATATAGAAGAAAAAGTTTGACAAAGGTAGGAACAAATTCCCAAAGGTGTTATTGCTTACCCTCAATAACAATCATCCCTCCAACTTACCATTGCCGTCTCTTGCTCCTGCTCGCCCTCTTCTTTCGCTTATCACCTCCTGTATGCGTGCGCGTGTGTGTGTGTGTGTGTGTGTGTGTGTGTGTGTGTGTGTGTGTGTCAGAGAGAGAGAGATTCTGCCGCCCCACCTCGACTCCACTTTTGTCCAGGGCACTTTGCCTCTTGCTCCGCCCGCGGCCTGCGCCACTGCCTCCGCCCACTTCCCGTTCCGCCTCCACCCACTCCCGCCCAGCTCTGCCCACCTCCCCTTCGTCTCTGCCCACCTCCCATCCACCTCCTCCCGCCATCTCCTCTCTCTCTTTCCTCCCTGCCTCCGCCACTTCTCTGCCTCCACCACCACCTCCCGTTCGCCTCCTCCCGCCATCTCCTCTCTTTCTTTCCTCCCCGCCTCTGCCACTTCTCCTCCGCCTCCGCCACCTCCCGTCCGCCTCCTCCTGCCATCTCCTCCGACCATCTCCTCTCCACCTCGGCCACCTCCCGTCCGCCTCCTCCCGCCATCTCCTCTCCACCTCCGCCACGTCCCATCTGCCTTTTCCCGCCATCTCCTCTCCGCCTCCGCCCACTTCTCTTCCACCTCATCTCACCTCCACTCTGGCCTTCGTTCAGCTGCCCGCACATCCACCATCCCTCTGCCTGCCTTAAAAATAAAACAAAATGAAACGGTTCGCTTCGACCTCCTGTCCGCCTCCACCCACCTCCCCTCGGCCGGCGCTGACCTCCTGTCCACCTCTGCCCACCTCCCTCCCACCATTGGGATCGTCAATCTCCCCTAGGCCTCCGCCCACCTCCCCTCCGCCCACCTCCCCTCCGCCTCCTCCCGCCATGTCCTCTCTCTCTTTCCTCTCCGCCTTTGCCTCCTCCTGCCATGTCCTCTCTGTCTCTGCAACTTCTCCGCCTCCGCTCGCCTCCGCTCACCTCCGCTTCGGGATCCATTGCTCTGCCCACACATCCGCCATCCCGTTGCACATCCCGTTGGCCGCCCCTTTTGTCTTTTTTTTTTTTTTTGTAATCAGTGAGCGCCACCTTCCCTCGGCCTCCGACGACCTCCTGTCCGCCTCTGATGACCTCCTGGCAGCCTTCGCCCACCTCCCTTCCACCATTGGGATCTCCCATCTCCCCGTGCCCTCCGCCCACCTTGCGTACGCCTCTTCCCGCCATCCCGCTGTGCGTGCGCCAACCTCGCCTCGGCCTCCGCCGACCTCCTTTCCGCCTCTGTCTGCCTCTCCTCCGCCCGCTACCTCCCCCCACCTCCACAAGGCCCCCGCCCGGTACCTCCACCCACCTCCCCTCAGCCTCCGCCCGCTGCCTCCACTCACTGCGGTCGGCCTCCGCCCGCTCTCCTCTCCGCCTCCTCCCGCCATCTCCTCTCGGCCTTGGCCACTTCTCCTCTGCCCACCTCCCCTCGGCTGGCGGCCCACCTCCCGTTCAACTGTACCGTCCGCTACCTCCGCCCATCTCCGCTCGGCCTCTGCGCTCCGCCCACTATCTTCTCTCCACGTGGCAAAGACGATTCCTTGGAGGG